TTCAGGTCCTATGAAGTAGTTTCCTGTACAGTGGAAGTGGACACTGGAGGCAGCTTTTGCCACCAGTAGGATCCAAGGGAGTAAATCATCTGGTGGTCCTGTGGTCTGTACTTGCCTCTGGGTCTCAGTTTGCCAAGTCAGTGTATATTAATGGGTCCTAATCTATAAGGGTCTTTCTCTACTTGTCTCTTGGACTCAACATCCTTTCACAGGCAGTGACGAAGGAGGTTTTCTGCTTATCTTTCTATGTTTGGCGTGAATCTGGTAGGATCTGCAGTAAATCTAGCAGAAAATTTCTGGCAGATTCAAGTTTTGCCATCAAGTTCGTTTGGACATGCAACTTTACCTGCTCAACACCATTTTGATTTTAATTCCCAGTTGTGGGACCACCTCTTTCCTAATCTCAAATTCTATTCCACATTACTGAATAGGTTTAGTATCAAGCTTTAGCATTCTTGCTGTCTCACATTATTTTAATGTAATGTCTCACATTATTTTAATGGCTCAGCTCTGAGTTAAGAATGGAGCTTTAAAATATGACTTTGTAAAAATACAAATCAGTACTATATTATCATATATCTCAAGTTTTTAAATAATCCACATAATGTGTTAGTTAAAACACGTGCTGATAGTGCCTAGAATTGCAGCTTTGCACTATTAGCCGTTGCAAGTACCCAGCCCACTTGAATAACTGAAGAATATTCACTTATTCTTCCAAAAACCACTTGTTGGCCTCCTTCTAGATATCAGAATTGGGCTGGTTACAAAAGAAATATCAGGGATGAAGAAACACAAGCCAATGTCCTCACAGACCTTACATTCTCAGTGAGGCAAAAAAATCAAGTAAGCAAACAAAGAGGCAACACGCAAGGGCATAGAAAGAAAGTCAGCAAGACTAAGTTACTTCTGATGACAAAGAAGAAATGTAATTTCACACAATTTTTTTTTCAGTTTCTACTATTGTTAAATACAGTGCTAATCCCTTTGTAGATACAAAAATGAACAAAACACAGCCCTTGACATCGAGAAACTCTCATTATCAGAGCAGATGACAAAGCAGCATAGATCATTGAGAACACTCCTGACTCCAGGCACTATGCTAAGCACTAGGGGCACTGTAATAACCAAGACGTGGTTCCTGCCCTCATAGAGTTTGCGGTCTATCAATTTCACCAGCTGTCTGATTCATGGAAATGAGGCTTGAAGTCAGAAACATTGGGCCAGACTGAGTTTCTCTGGAGAGAGTTCTAATGGTTCCCATACTGACTGGGAGCTGGTGCCTGGTAAGTGCTCTCTAAGCACCTACTGAGGTGCTGAAGGCCAGATACAGGAGAGGGTAAACTGACCAAGGCAGTGGTTTCTACTAGTTCATTCATTTGATTACAGGAGGGCATTGACTTCTACCAGAAACAACTTGAATTGCTAGCTTTGGCACCTGATATTCTTTCTGTGATCATAGTGTCCACACAGTAAACTCTGAGGATGCTGAGAAAATTGAGACCAAGAATTCTGTCTCTGAATAATCTCGTCAAATCTATGAGGAAACTTTTATCCATATTTATGTTTTATTGATTTTTACTTGTGCATTTATTCAATGGAAAAATGTCTTCACTTTCAGGAAAGACCAGTGGACTTTCAGATGAACAAGACTTTATTTTATTTCATAAGAACAGTTTTTTGTTTTGTTTTGTTTTCCCTCTCTGTTAGGGCCAGCATCTCCTGTATCTTCTCTCTGTCTCACCCTGTAATTCCACTTGAACCCTCCAATCTCAGCACTCTTTCTTTCAGGAAAGTGACACAGGTGTGTCCAGTACTTCTTAAAAACAGGAAGCTATGAACTTGTATCAACAATAGAGAAGCTGTGGTCAGTAGTCACTGGGACAGCTACATAGGCCAGTATCTAGGGCTTTTGAAGGGGATAAGGCACTACTGAGAGCAGACGGGCAATGTTGTGTCTTCTGGCTCCGTGTCCTATCTGTTCATAGGGAGAAAAGGCATGTCTTAGCTTATATTCCCTTAAAAGATGAGTCTGAGATAAAGGTTTGCATGCAGGGCATTTTTGGGAAGTGATCTCATGGAGCAGGAGTGAGGGATCAAGGGAGTAGATTTGGGTAGTGAAGAAAGCCAATGCAATGGTGCATAATGCAGCTGGCCACCATGTGCATGACTGGTGCCTGATCCTGACATGACCTTCTGAAGAGCCTTTTGAAATATGCCTCAGACTTTTCCTCATGCAGTGTTGCGGGAAGTCAGGGACACCAAACAGAGGGACTGACTGAAACCGTGGCAGAAGAACACATTGTGAAAATTTCATGGATATTTATTAGTTCCCCAAATTAATACTTTTATAATTTCTTACGCCTGTCTTTACTGCAGTCTCTGAACATAAATCGTGAAGATTTCATGGACATTTATCACTTCCCCAATCAATACTCTTGTGATTTCCTATGCCTGTCTTTACTTTAATCTCTTAATCCCATCATCTTCATAAGTGGAGGATGTATGTTGCCTCAGGACTCTGTGATGATTGCGTTAACTGCACAAATTGTTTGTAGAGCATGTGTGTTTGAATAATATGAAATCCAGGCACCTTAAGAACAGGATAACAGCAATTTTCAGGGAACAAGGGAGATAACCTTAAAGTCTGGCTGCCTGTGGGCTGGGTAGGACAGAGCCATATTTCTCTTATTACCGAAAACAGGTAAGAGAAATATCACTGAATTCTTTCCCTAGTAAGGAATATTAATAATTAACAGCCCTGGGAAAAGAATGCATTCCCAGGGCAGGGCCTCTAAAATGACTGCCCTGGGAGTGTCTGCCTCTATGCAGATGTAGATAGGGATGAAACACGCCCTAGTCTCCTGTAGCGCCCCCAGGCTGGCTAGGATTAGGAAATTCCAGCCTGGCAAATTCTAGTCAGACAGGTTCTCTGCTCTTGAACCCTGACAATGCGTGCACAGCGGGACATGGAAGTTCATTAGTGATTCTAGTTTCACCCTGACCTTCTGCCTTGTGATCTTTTGTCACCCTTGAAGCATGTGATCTCTGTGACCCGCACCCTGTTCGTGTACTCCCTCCCTTTTGAAATTGCTAATAAAAACTTGCCGGTTTTACGGCTCAGGGGGCATCACAGAACCTGCCGGCATGTGATGTCTCCCCCAGACACCCAGATTTAACATTTCTCTTATACTCTTTCCCTTTATTTCTCAGACCGGCTGATGCTTAGGGAAATAGAAAAGAACCTATGTGAAATATCGGGGGCTGGTTTCCCCCAATACTGCAGGGCATGGGGGAGGCTGGAACCATTTATTCATTTATTTCTCCCATTGTTCAAAAGTGAGCCCAAGAGGGTTTCTTTCTCCTTTCTCTTTCTCCTTCTTCTTCCTCTCCCTTTTTTCTCTACTATTTGTATTTGGGAAATGAAGATATGAGATCCAAAATGCAAAAAAGCCAACTTGGGGGAGTGGAGCTAAAATGTCTAGAATCACATTTAGGCTTATAGAGCAATCAGTTCACATAGGGAAACCAATGGAGGTCAAGGGAAAGGGAATCTTGAGGGGAAAAAAAAAGAAATTAAGGTGCTCGAAGCATTTGAGAGAAATTATTAATAAATATTTTTAAGACTGTGTTGAAGAACTTGGAAAAAATAGGACATTGACATAGAATAAATGAAAAAAAATGTAATTATTAACTAAGAAAATACATTGTACCAGAAAGGAAATATAGTTGTCATTTTGGTTAGACAGTGGCAATATTTATGTGGTCATAATCATATATGCACTGACTGTCTATTTAACCCCAGCTTATGATATATATAAGTATGTTGAGAAGGTGAGAGTAGTGGCATGCTGCCATAGAAGGAAGTCAATAGATAATGCTTAATAATGATAAATCAAGAGTATATACATATTAATCAGAAATTGCTAGAATGGATTTGAATTGGAAGGTGGGGGTAGAGCATGGGCTAAGGAAGGAACAGACCTTTATAATACTATCGGCTTTTTAGATATGTGCAGGTAGTATTTTGATTTAAAGAACCTTTGATTTAAAAAAAGAATGTAGCTATAATTTAATATATATGATTAATGTTGTTGAGTAATAAGAACAATTATAATCATAAAACTTGTTTTGATATAAGAATTCCACTGGGGTTGGGAATAATAATGAAAAGAATCCTTGGGGGATATAAAGAACCATTGATTTAGATACACTGGGTTTGATATTCTGCTTCATGAATTTCCACAAATGCAAGTTTCCATTAGAGATCTTCACATGAAAACTTAGAACCTGGCCTTTTTTCTAAAGAAGTCACTGAGCTTCTCCAGAAGCATCTCTTACCAGTCTTTCATTTCCACACCACAAACCAAACCATAGAGTCATCCTTCTATTATGTTTTCTACAACTACTCTCTGTTTTTCTCAACACTATTAAAAAGGCCAAGTGCTGGACATCATTAGGAAAGAATCTGAAAACTAAAATTATTATAAGGTGCTTATTATTTATATTCCACATACTTCTTCAATGATTTGTGGTATTAACCCATAATGAGTATCAGCAAACTCATGGTGCATCTATAACTAATACCAATAATTGATACCCTTTATATGACACTAACTATGTGCCAGGAAATGTGTCAAGCACTTTGTGTATATTACCTCATGTAATCCCCAGAATTGGGGTTAGGTACTATGGTTAACAGTGTTTCCTTTTTATAGTTGAGGGAAAACTGAGGCACAGAGAAGTTAAGTAACTTGATCAAGATCATCCAGTTAACAAGTAGCAGAATCGGGATTTTTATACCCTGTGTATTTTACTTCCAAGGTAAAAATCACATATCGTCTGGTTAATATACTTGGTGATGATGCTGTAGAGAAGAGAGATGGTCTAGAAGGGGAGAATATTATATTTTAAAAACTTAAAAATTTGACATCATCTGACCAAGGATAGAGACAGACAAATCTGAAAGACAGGAGTAAGAAATGATGCCTCAGCTTCAGAGTTTAGGTACGGGCTCCAGGTGCCTGGAGAGCACTGTGTCTCACAGCACAGATGTAGATGGCAGAGTCTCTGGGCTGGGAGGCTGTGATATGCAGGGAGCTGTGCCTTTCCTGTATGTTTATTGTGGCAATTAATCTTCCATTCTTCTTCTTCTCTGAGCTCAGCATAAACAAAGAAACAATGCCTCCTCCTGGATGCTGTTGCAGCCAGTGTAAGGCATTTATTCCTATTGAGTAACTGCAGTTGATTGTGATAAATTCTCCTTCCTGGGCAGTCAGGTCCTGAGGACTCTGCTCCACTTCATTTTTGGCGGCACTTACACCTGTTCTCAAAGACATCATCAGATACAGAATATTACAATTATTGAAATATTTATACACATTTATTTACACATTTTCAGGAGGGCACTCCAGATTAGCCACTTGGAATCCCTTCTTTCCCCTCCCCAGAAGTTTGTAAAATATCTCATGTCCTGAAACTCCCCAACTTACAGCTTAGCTGAAGCCACAAAATAGCCAACAAAAATTGCCAGATCTTCACCATGATTACGGCAGCTGAAGCTCACACAGGTCTCTGTTGGAGGATTTTGGAATATATGTTGGTTGGACAAAGAAGTCTTTTATTTTTAAAACGTCTCTACATTTACTTTAGAAATCAAAGAGGATTCTTAGTCCATCAGAAGCAGCAGAAATGCACACTTAAGAACATTTACAGTTTTACCTGCAAAGTGAACCATCCATGATCTTTTAAATGTAACACCCACATTGCCACCTAGTGGCATGAGGCGTAGACATTTATTATGCAGGTCAAATACTTGAGCCCAGGAGTTTGGGGATACAGTGAGATATGATCATGTTACTCCACTCCAGTCTGGGCAACACAGCAAGACCCTGTCTCTAAAACAAACAAACAAACAAACAAACAAACAAACAAACAGCCCTCTCACCCACAATACAGATAGAGAACCAAACTTAGCATCCTCCTACTAGGAGTCCTGGAAGTAAGGTGGGGGTAATGTGGGGGAACAGAAACCTGATGATTGTTTGACTTCAGCCAGCTATGATAGATCAAGTAGAGTAGCCGCATTTCACACTTTATCTTTTGAAAACTGAAGGCCAGATCTGTTCTTTTTTGTAAAGGGGTCCTTATAAATATCTCTGGTTTCTTTATGTGACATCCTTGTTTCTTTCTGCGCATGGTATTATTTCAGACTACTTTATTAGTTTTATCTCTTTTTTAGACTTGCTACAGTTTGTTCATGTCTCTTCAAATGTGATTCAAATATTGTTGCCCTGTCAGGGTATTACTGTACTCATCTGGTTTCCACTCATTTTATTGTTATCTATGATAGTTTCAGTTGTTTTATCACATTGGTGAATTACTTTGAGCTTGTAGTCCTTTTCCACTTTGGGGATTCCTTTCTAAAGAGATGACATAGAGGTCATGCTTGTACCAAGTAACTTCCTTTTTCTGGCAATAGCTTGTTGGATCTGGGTAGATACTATGCTCATTAAGTTGAACTAGAGGTACAGAAACAGCAGTTAGTGTAACTAGAGCTTTAAAGCCCTGTGGGATTCAAAGCAGACTCATCTCTTAGCAAACAGAGCTGGGTATGTTCAAACTGAAGTTGTTGTGGAGTAGAATATGACAGGTTTACAGCGGAATCTGGTTTCCCAGGAGGAGAACAGATTATACATTCAGAGAAAAGCAGATTCAGAAAGACTCAGAAAGCCGATTGGTGATTTTCTTCTTTCTGTGAGCCCTAGCTGTATTTTTCACAAATTGATTTTATGAGACTTTCTAATATCCTTTCAGAAAATCTTTTCCTTAATTACTTTGAGTGCATTACACAACAAATACTAAAAATTTAGGATTCCTTCTTCCAGATATTACAACTCATTTTTATAAAACTACCGTATAAATATATAGTTATCTCCATTAAATTCTATGTTGGCAGTTTCAGTTTATCTTTCCAGTTTGTTCAGATGATTTTCAATCTTTAATTTATGCTGTAAATAAACATATTAGCTGGACATCATTAGGGCATCATCATCATATACCAATCTCAAAATTTGCTATTTGTACATTTAATGGGCATGGGCATACCTTGTGTGAATTTACATAAGATCAATGTGAACAGGTCAGAGTGAAGGATAAAATCATGAGGTGTAACAATAGGGACAGTTTTCTAAATTGTATATTTATATACGGCCATTCTTTCAGCTGAGGATTCACCAAGTCTAGCATTATGTAGAATGGCGAAGTGAATAGAGGATACGGTCTAGATTCAAATGAACTTAGGTTTGAGCCTTAGTCTTACTACTTACTAGATTCTACTGGATTTTTCTATTCAGTACTCCAATCGTCAGCCTCCTTAGTCATAAAATGGGAATAACAATACAAAACTTGTAGTTTTGTGGTGGGAATTACAGATAACATTGGGAGTTAACAAAGTATAGAATTTAAGAATGCAGGCTTTGGGCTTGTCAACCTGTATTTGTATGCCAGGTCTTCCCTTACTAACTCTGTGTTCTTGGGCAAGTTAGTTAATTCTTCTGTATTAAAGATAGTTTCCTTATCTTTAATAAGGATTCACCTACTTCATGAGGTCGTAGTGAAGATTAAATGAATTAATGTATGCAAAGCACTTAGAACAACACTTCATGCACATTAAGCCCTTGATAAATAAATGTTAGTTCTTATTACATCTATAGTACAATAGGGCCTGTGGCAAACACAACACTCAACAAATGATAATATATATATTTTTCCCATTGATAGAGTGAAAACCAAATTATTAAATGTCTTGCAAATATTTGACACATTTAAAGTCCATGGAAGCCCTTTGAATTTAGCAGGCTTGTTTTAAAAATGTCTTCAGTGGGCTCATTCTGGCTTGGTACTGATCACTGCATTATTTTCTAAGAGCCCACATATTATCTGTTAATAATCTGCTCTAGAATTTTGCTGGGTATCAATCCACTATTTCTGTGTTCATGTGTTGGGGATTTCCTTCATTCCCCATAGGTTTTCAAAAAATTCACCCAATGCCTTGCCAACCATGTCTGCAAACTCTTTTCGTATGTTGGGGATTAGTTTAAATGACCCAGAAGACTTGATCATTTTGAAAGCATCTAAGTTCTCTCTTAGTATCTTTTCATCTGTCATAATTTTTCATTTCTTCATCTCCAGTTTGAAAATTATACTTTTTTTCTCTTATTTTTTTTTGAGATGGAGTTTTGCTCTTGTTGCCCAGGCTGGAGTGCAATGGCATGATCTTGGCTCACTGCAACTTCCGCCTCCCAGATTCAAGCAATTCTCCTGCCTCAGCCTCCAGAGTAGCTGGGATTACAGGTGTCCACTGCTGCCCCCAGCTAATTTGTGTATTTTTAGTAGAGATGGGGTTTTTTGCCACATTGGCCAGGCTGGTCTTGAACTCCTGACCTCAGGTGATCCGCCTGCCTCAACCTCTCAAGTGCTGGGATTACAGGCATGAGCCACTGCTTCCAACCCAAAATTATTATATTTGATGAAGAATAGAGGATGAAACCAGGAGTCGAAGTGCTCTACCTCTTCTTTATTCTCTGCCAAATTATTCTGTTTTCCTTGATATGTAAATTAAGCTTCCTCCCCACCCTACCATCTTCATTTCTCCAAACTGTTCTAAAATGCTTTTTATGTTCCACTTCACATTTTCTTTAATCTTTAACTTTTTTCATTAAAAAGTTTCCACTTTTTAATGATTTCCTTAAAGGTTCATGCCATCTTTGCTATTCTCCTTTGTCTTTGTGTCAGTCAACATTTTTATAAATTTTAGTTAAAATCTGAGTTAGTATACCTTCCTGTACTGCTATAGGTTTTATCAGGTGGCTCCATATTTCATATACTTATTGGAATTGTTTGCAATGGAATAGTAAGAATTTAATTTTTTTAGAGCTTCTTGTTCCATTAATAATCACATCTAGATTATTTGGTTGTCTTCTTTTTTATTGAGGTAAGCACAAAACATAAAATTCATACTTTTTATCACTTTAGAGTATATAATGCGGTAGCTTTTAGTATATTCACAATGTTGTGCAATCATCACCACTATCTAGTTCAGAATATTTTCCCCAAAAGAAACCCTACACATCTCTTAAGTAGTTCCTCCCCACTCCCCACTTCTTCCAGCTTTGGCAGCCACCTACCTGCTTTCTGACTTTGGATTTGCCTATTCTTGGAATTTCATATAAATGAAATATACAATATGGACATTTTGTATCTGGATTTTTCCACTTAGCATAATGTTTTCAAGATTCATCATGTTGTAGTAGGTGTTAGTACTTTAATCCTTTTTATGGCTGAATAATATTCCATTGTATAGAGATACCATATCTGGTTTATCCATTTGGATTACTTACCCTTTTGGCTACCATAAACAACGCTGTTATGAACATTCATGCACAGGTTTTTGTGTGGACATATGTATTGTGGGTAGATACATAGGGCTGGAATTGCTGGGTCATATGGTAATTCTATGTTTCACATTTTGAGGTGCTGCCAAACTGTTTGCCAAAGTGATAGCATCATTTTACGTCCCCACCAGCAATGTATGAGGGTTCTAATTTCTCACATCCTTGATAAGACTTGTTATTGTCCTTTATAAAAAGTCATCGCCTTGGCCGGGCGCGGTTGCTCAAGCCTATAATCCCAGCACTTTGGGAGGCCGAGACGGGCGGATCACGAGGTCAGGAGATCAAGACCATCCTGGCTAACACGGTGAAACCCCATCTCTACTAAAAAATACAAAAACAAACAAACAAACAAAAAACAAACTAGCTGGGCGAGGTGGCGGGCGCCTGTAGTCCCAGCTACATGGGAGACTGAGGCAGGAGAATGGCGTAAACCTGGGAGGCGGAGCTTGCAGTGAGCTGAGATCCAGCCACTGCACTCCAGGCCGGGCAACAGAGCAACACTCCGTCTCAAAAAAAAAAAAAAAGTCATAGCCTTTTACTCAGTGCAAAGCGGTATCTTGTGATTTTGATTTGCATTTGTCTAATGACTAATAATGAGTACATTTTCATATGCGTATTAGACATTCTTGTATCTTTGTTGAAGAAATGTCTATTTAAATCTTTTGCTCACTGCTTGAGTTATATTTCTATTATTGAGTTGTAAAAGTTCCTTATATATTCTAAATATAAGTCCCTTATCATCAGGTCCATAGTACATATGATTTGCAAATGTTTTCTCCCATTCTGTGGGTTATCATTTCATTTTCTTGATGGTGTCCTTTGAAGCATAAACAAGTTTAATTTTGTTGAAGTCCAACTTATCAATGTTCTATTTTATTGCTTGTGCTTTTGGTGTTGCATCTAAGAAATCATTGCTTAACCCAGGATCATGAAAATTTACTCCTGTGTTTTCTTCTAAGAGTTTTACAATTTTAGTTTTTACATGTAGGTCTATGACCCACTTTGAGTTAATTTTTGTGTGTGGTGTGAGTAGGAGCCTGTGAGAGAAAAGACGATATGTTGATCGTAATGGCCTGGGGCTGGGCATGGGGTGTGGTGTGGTATGACAAAGCAGTGGGCATGCCAAGCCCTATTAGGATGGTCAGCACTAGGCAGAGAAATTGCCGTGAGAGAGCAGAACTGCTATGGTGGGACTTGCAAGTTCCAGTAATGCTTTGAGTAGTAATCTGCCCCTTCTAACCTACCTTTTTTCCACTTTATCTCCATCTTAAATTTGTGTGATTATTTTTATTTCTACTTCAGATGTAGTAGATGAAAAAAACTAAAGCTCTGAGACATCAATTAACTTGGCCAAATTTGCATAGCTAATAAGTAGCAGAGCCAGGACTGACATCAAGTCATCATATTCTGATTCCTACACATCATGCAAGAAAGCCTGAAGGACAAGAGAGAACTGACTTAATTGAGAGCAGGGATATTATCTGAGACCCTCTTCCCTGACCCCATTTTCTGTCAAAGAAACTCCTATGCCCTGGAATTAGAGGCAGTTACATCTGCTTTTGATTTTCCTTATCTTCTAATAATGTCTTAACAGGACTGTCTGTGAGAGAGAGAACAAGGCTCTACAACCTGGGTTTTCCAGCCTCACTACATACTTCCTCTGGGCCACTGAGGTTTTTGTATAGCTCCCCTGTGCTTTTAGCACAGTGTCTCTCAGAAGACAGCAGTACATGGCTGAGTCTGACACCTGCACCGAGTATTTCACAATGCGGGAGTTTTTGTCTTTAATATTTCTGACTCCAAGGTTTTTGCTGTTTTCCATCGTCTGTCTCTGAAGAAGCTGCAGAGGTTTGTTGGGGTATTGGACATACCAGAAAAGGGTAGGGTACCCCACGGATGTGTATGTGCAGTTCATAGTCACGGATGCTCCCTCCAAGATGGTTATTTGGCCTGTCTGTTTGACTGAATTGCTGCCAGTTTCTCCTGTAGAGGGGAAAGAAGTACTGGTTTTATGGGTTTGGCCAGAGTTGTATCTTTTGGAGAAGGTTTTTATAATTTTGAAATAATAAAAAAATTTTAATAAAATGTACTTACCAAACATTAAGATTAGAATTAGAAATTCCAGAGAGGAGTTCATTGTTAGTGTCTCTGGCCTACCAGAGGGCATCACTGTTGAAGTGAGGATACAAAATGATTCACAGTTGTACTCAGAATTCATGCATAAATTATGATTTCATTGGTGAATAGCACCCCCACATGACAAATTAATGAACGGTTATAAGACGTTATCTGCCTCTCAATGTTCTGCTCTGTGTCCTCACTACTGTCCTCATTCTTAAGAGTCATTTTGGGTGTGAGGTGGTCTTTTTGTGCAAAAGGGGCTCACCACACTCCTAAGTCTATTATCTCTACAACACTTATTCTAAGGGAGAATAATTTTCACTAGAACTTAGACATCACAACATGTCAGTATTTTAGACAGTTGTTTTAGTATTTTCAGTTTTTATAAACAATATTGTGATAAATCTATGCTTACATAAACCCTCTTCATACATCTAATTATTTCCTTAAAACATGGTGCACTGGACATACATTGTGACCAAATACCCAATGGTGAGGTGTTAAAGTCAATATCTGGGCGAAGCTAAAGCTGAATCTGAATATCGAAAAATAGAATTAACTTCAAAAATACAAGAATAAATATGAAATTCTATCTAAAATGTAATTACTATTATAATTGTGTTAACAAAGACTTAGCATTCACATTTCAGAGTTTAGCATTACAATAAAAGAGCAGTAACCTCTCAGGACTGTCTGTTGTTTGATTGGTCCTGTTATTACCATTTTTCACATTTGCAAAATTTTTTACTGAAAATGGTAGTGAATCAAGGTATTTTTGGTTGTCTCTTCTAGAAAAGGGTAGTGCTGAGGGGACACTTATTCCTTTTTTATCTGGTCTTGAAGATCTATTTGATAATGATGGTGCAATTCAATGGAAGTCATTTTGCAAAGTCTACTTAGCTTTGTTTTTGTTTTTGTTTTTTGACTGCTTGTTTTTTTCTCTTTTTTTCTTCCTCAGTCCTGGCATAATTTTATCTGGTTTCTCAGAAATGGAAATATTTTACTTCAAATATGCAATCTTGCACTTAGACTTGAAGTGGCTTGGCTTACAGCTGAGTATTTGCAGTCTTTATTTCTGGTTACATAATAAATGGCTCAAGACTCATGGTGCCAGAGGAGGTTCTTGGAGTAACAGAAAAAAAAATTTTATGATATGTGTGTGTGTGTGTGTGTGTGTCTCAGTAACCACTATTTTGATAGCTGGAAAAAATGAATCACATTGTTTTTTATGTTTCTTTGATGACTAAAGAATTTGTATACCTCTTTATAAAGTGGCCATTTGTACTACTTTTTGTGAACTGCTCATTTTCCCCAGGAATATTAATGTTTTATTATTGTTATGGTTGGAATGTGCCCCCCCCAAAGTTCACATGTTGGAAATTTAATCCCCAATGCAACAGTGTTGAGAGGTGGGACCTTTAAAAGCTCATGAGAGCTCTGTCCTCATGGATAGATAAGTGACATTATCACGGGAGTGGGTTAGATACCTTGGGAGCGGGTTCCTGATAAAAGAATGAGTTTGGCACTTTACCTGTATCCCCTTCTTGCACGCACTCTCTTGCCCTCTGCCTTTGGCCATAGTGTGGTGCAGCAAGAAGGCCCTCCCCAGACGCAGGCCCCAGGATCTTTGATTTCCCATCTTCCAAAACTGTAAGAAATAAGTCTCTGTTCTTCATAAATTACACATTCTCAGGTATTCTATTATAGCAGCACAAAATGGACTAAAACAGTTATTGATTTATTTTAATTTTAAGGGTAATTTACATTTTAAATACAAAGGTATTATCAGAAAATCACATTGTACATATTTTAAATAACTGATGTCAAAGAACTTTCCTTTATTACATTACTAAGCTTATAGTTTTGATCAGTGAGCTATAATTAGAGGACAGATATGGGCAAGGTTTTGACAAATCTTTCCTTTCACCATTTTTAAGATGCAGTCTCATGTGCTTTGCCTAGTGCTTGAATAGAGGTTTTCTGCAAGTGGAAAGAGGTTTTAATCTTAACCTAATGGGCCTGAAACCTTTGTAATCTTCCTTTTCATTTATCATGATGCCTCAGAGACAAGGCATTTTGAGATCTCCTTGGGATATTTGACATACAACAAGAGGCAGGTACCTACCCATTTTGTATGTACAGTTCAATGTCAGGTGTGCCCCTGAAGAAAGGGTCACATATCCCTGTGTCTAGGTCACTGAGTCTCTAGTGGTTCTTCCTGGAAAACCAAGGTTTTCATTAGAATGAATGGAAATGACATTGACTCTAAGTAATAAAATGAGAAATAAGATAAATTATAAAACAGTCAAAATTTTAAACTGTCATTTTGCTCACCAGAGAGTAACAACCTCGCAAGCATCAAAGTGGAGGCACTGATCATGGCTGTTCCAGTGCTGGCGACTGTGGAGAGCCCATGATCTCTCCTGGCTTGCATGGGCTGTCTCTCCCAGGATTGAGGCTTCTACCTCATACCATTGATTGCACTTCCCTTCTTTAGATTTTGGGAAGTTTGTCTTTTAGTACTGGTTCCTCTTTCAGATGTGAGACTCTAGGATCACTAGACCTACTGGGTTCTTAAAGGTATATACAAGTACTTGGCATGACTACGGGTAGGAATCTTTTAAATCTTTAATTAGCCAAAACACACAAGTGTTTCTGCACTGGAGGAAGAAAGAAAACAAAGCACAACACAATGCCATCCTGTTTTGGGCTAGGGAGTGAACTCTAAGTATTACTTAAAATTCTTTTTGAATTAGTGGTTAGAAGAGGGAAGCTCTGACTTGTGAGACACATGCTACCCTTTCTGTGTCTAGTTAAATCAAAAGAAATTAGTAATGATGACGATGATAGCTAATATTTACTGAGTGCTGAGTGATGAACCAGAGGCTTTGCGTACATTAATCCACATGACTGTGAAAAGTAGGTGTTAATATTATTGTTCCCATTTTATAGGTGAGGAAATTGATGATCAGAGAGGATAAACAAATTGCTCCAGGTCACACTGCTCAAAGGTGGTGAAGCCAGGATTCAATATCTGATCTGCCTCTTTATTCTCTGAGTCCACAGGACTTGACTGTCTGTTTACAGCTTATTCAATAGTTATTTACTAGACTCCAGACAGTATAAGGGTCTGTCAAGTTTAATATTTGTTGGATAAATTAATCAGTCAATAAGTGAATTAAGTATTTGATTTCAGAGCCTAGGAATTCAACTAGAACATCTATCTTTTGAAGTGTTACTTCCTTATATCCCTGCTCTTTGCCTTAGAAGAGAAGTTAACAAAGGCTCTCAGCAGAAAGCCCCAGACTGGCTATGCTAAATGATTTTTTTTTTTCTTCTAAGATGGAGTCTCACTCTGTTGCCCAGACCAGAGTGCAGTGGTGTGATCTCAGCTCACTGCAACCTCTGCCTCCTGGGTTCAAGCAATTCTCCTGCCCTAGCCTCCTGAGTAGCTGGGATTTCAGTTGGGTGCCACCATGCCAGGCTAATTTTTTTTTTAGTAGAGACGGGGTTTCACCATATTGGTCAGGCTGGTCTTGAACTCCTGACCTCAGGTGATCCACCCACCTTGGCCTCCCAAAGTGCTGGGATTATAGGCATGAGCCACCGCACTCAGCCTGGCTATGCTAAATGATTTTTAATAGTGACGCAGTGGCTGGGTAGGGTGGTGCATACCTGGAGTCCCAGCTCTGGAGGCTGAGGCAGGAGGACAGCTGGAGCTCAAGAGTTTGAGGTCAGCCTGAACAACACGGTGAGACCCCCATTTTAAAAAGTATTTTTAAAATAAAATAATAATAGTACAGTTTCTCTAATGAGGGTAGAACTCTGAAATGTTCAGGAGAGTACAAAGTTACTCTCTAGACAGCACCATGAGTAAGGGCAATAAATGTTTCCCACTTTGAAGTTGTAAAAAAAGCTCACGGTACAACTCAACCCCTTATTTGGTTTGACTATTAATATCTTTATGCATATTTTTTCCTGTGCAAATAGATCCCTCCAGGCATCTGGATCTCTGCCACTGCTATGGTCCTAGGTGAAGAGTTTATAATAAATATGTAGATGTCAAAAGAACAGGACATCTCACCATCTCAGAGGTAATTTGAGGAGGTGAGGTGTTTCTTTTCTACACCAAGCTACTCAGTTAATTTGCCCTCACTCTGTATGCCACTAGGTTGAATTGTTATCAAATTAATGTAAGGTCTTTCCCATACTCCTGCCTGTAACATCGATATCTGAATAATTTGTTTGAGTGATGGCATTCCAAACTAATGATCAGGGCCAGCTTCAGTATGAAACCTGTACAGTCTCATAGAACTCATGTTTTAATGCTCCGCTGTTGCAGTCTTCAAATTCTTAGGAAGTTTTGCATTTTCATTTTGTACTGGGTCCCGTAAATTACATAGGCAGTCCCGCTAAAGGCCTATGTCTCCTGGTGGCTCAGGGACTGAGCGTTCTTGTCCATTTTTTGATTATTCCACCCTGTTCAGATCGATGAGACAGCAGAGATCTTTATTACATAGGCTTTCACAGAGGCATGTGGATTTTTATTTTCCCTCTGCTCCGACTTCCATTACCTTTATCACCACAGCACAATTTTCTAAGGTCCTTAAAATGCCTGGATTTGAGTAGGGAGTCTTACACAACAGAAGAAAGCACAAATATTGCCTTCTGGAAGATGCTTTCACAACAGACCTTCTTGTGTCTGAAATTAAGACTCCTTCCTGTCATTTGCCACTAAACTCACAGGTCACCTGCAGTCAACAGATCTACACAAAGGCTATCAGATATGTCTTTAGCCCCTTTTCCATCAGCAGGAGCAGTAACAATAGCTGCTCTTCAAGGAGCTTTTCTGGTGGAAGAAGCCTCTGTGCTCAGAGTAACACCAGATATCTTCGGTTCTGATGTTAATACAACAATCTTCCTCACTTTCATCTTGACGACCTGCAGTCTATTCTCAGCACGGCAGCCAGAGTGAGTCTTTTACATGGAAGTCAAATTATATTTCTCCTTTCTCAAAGTCTTCCTATGGCTTCTCATTCCACCTAGTTC